CTTGTCTAAGTTGCCCATTTTTTATCGTAACTTTTTTAAAGTTTGGACTTTATTTATAGTGCAAAGACTCAGTAATACAAGTTCCTTGCATTGAGTGTTACAAGAACCTTTAATTTATGGTTCTCGCTTGGATATATCTTGTGAAGGCCCTCTCCCTGCTCTTGATGGAATTCTTCTCTCTTCTGGAGTGATGACCCTTGGACATCTATCGTGGCTAGCAGGAAAAGGCTTCAAGAATATTGACTCAGTGGCTGGACATTTGGGTATTCATTCAACACACATAGTGGCTAAACTTCTTGAAAAGTGGAGGTCTTCTCTCACAGTGGAAGAATTCAAATTGCTGGAGGACTATGCCGAGGGATTAATTATTCCAAACTCCAGAGATGCCTTTCCTAATCTGTTCTTTTCACCTAATTTAGAAGAGTGTAAAGGTGTTTTTTTTTGTATTCTGAAAACTTGACATTAATCGGTTCAGAGCTGACTTCTAGAAAAGCATTGTATAAAGGTTGTGTGAAATCCTTGAATAAGAGTGCTTTACATAATAGGGTGGATAGTCCTTGTCTTACCGTACTCCAGATGAAGGAGGGCACAAAACCAGAATGGAGAGCTCTATATAAGTCACCATTAACCAAGAAAGTTGAGGATTTACAGTGGAGAATTTTACATGGTGCAGTTGCAGTCAATGCTTTTATTTCGGTTTTAAATCCTGGTATTGGTCATGATTGCCCATTTTGTTATCAGAGAGAAACTGTGTTCCATGCATTTATGCAATATGTCAGACTAAAGCCTTTGTTTTCTGTTTTACAGAATTTATTTGTTTGTTTTGGAGAAACTTTTTCTGTTGGAATTTTTATTTGTGGTTTTAAATATGTTTGGAGACACCGGTGTAAGTGTCAACTTTTTGCTAGGTCAAGCTAAAATTGCAATTTATAATACTAGAAAACACAAAATTGAACAAAACTTGAGCTGTGATTTAGAGGCAGTGTTTTTCAATTCAGTGGAATCAAGAATTTTAATTGATTTTCGATATTTTAAAGCCGTGAATGTTTCTTTTAATTTGGTGTTATAAAGGTACTTTGTGTGAGGTTATTGAAGACAACTTGTTTTTTGCAACCTTCCTAAGATAATTGCTTTTCTACTTGAATAATGTGTTGATTGGACAATGTTTTAGAGTTTGTAATAAAGGGTCTTTGAAAATTCAAATAAATAAATAAATAAATTCACACACACACACACACACACACACACACACACACACACACACACACA